CAGTCCATACCCAAAATAACATCAAAACCCATCATAGGCATAACTACAAAAGAGAATGGAGGCCTACGATCGGCGACCTCTATATCACAACCTCTACAACCTTGTTTCAAAATCAATTCACCCCCAACAGGTGATACAACATATATAGGAGATGCTAATTGTGCCAACTCCAACTCCAAAACAGATGCAAATACAGCAGATACAAAGGAATGAGATGCACTCGTATCAATCAACACACTAGCAACCGAGTTACAAAACAGAAAAGTACCTCTCACAACTGATGGAGCCGGTACTAGGTCCTGCGCGGTAATAGCATACACGCACCCTGTAGGCCCCTGATCCACCTGCTCACCCCTAGGAGCAAAGGACTGATGCACAGACTGGGACGACGAAGCTCCCGGATTGGCCCTCGAGGCCTGTACAGACTGAGCTGGCTGATAACTCTGCGTCGGCTTAGAACCAGTCGCCCCCGAAGTGGCACTCAACTGTGGGCAAAACCTCTTCAGGTGTCCAGGCTGACCACATTGATAACAAGACAAAGGCTGGTCTTTGTCCTGACTCTGGCCCTGAGGTCGAGCCGAAGAAGAGGCAGCTCGCTGACCTTCTCCCCTCTGTGGGGAAACCGAAGACTTGTGGCCCAGCTGACCACACTTGAAATAGGTAATGTCCCCCTGGTTGCCTCTCACCGAGCCTACACTCGGCACTGGAAAGGTCGATCTAGCAAAACCTCCCTGAGACTGTTGAGGGTTAGAACCCCTCTGTCTCCTGCCATCACCCTGACCATCCTGGCTCCTCTTGGAGCCTTTCTGCCTTTCCTCCTCTTCCTGCATCATGATCTCCATATGGGCTGCAGCATCCACCAGACGCCCATAATCTCGGGTCATAGAACCCTCAACTCTCATCTTGAGGCCACGCCTCAACTTCTTCTCAAACTCGATGCAACGGCGCTCCTCAGACGCCACAAGTTCAGGTGCAAACCTGGACAGACTAGTAAAAGTAGCCTCAAACTCGGCCACAGACAAACTCAGTTGCTTAAGCTGACAAAACTGTTAAAATTGTTCTCTCAGCTTCTCTCTGACTGCTGGAGATAAGTACTTATCCTGGAAAGCCTCTATAAAAGCCTCCCACGTGCCACCAATACGGCCCTTCATGTATTTCCACCATTGACCCGCACCCTCCTTAAGCTGGAAGGATGCCAAGGTCACTTTTAATGCACTGTCCTCGATGCCAAGCATCTCGAACGTCTTCATCATTTGTTCCAACCACTCATCCGCCTTAAGTGGCTCCTTTGGATCCTCAATAAACTCGTCCGGATTAAATCGGAAGAACTCCCTCTTCAAGAAGGAAGGCCCTGCCTTAACAACCGGGGCCTGCACTTGAGCCTGAACTGGATTCTCAGTTCTGAGAATACCCATAGACTCCCTCAAAGCATCGGCTATCCCACGGGCTAAGTCGCCTATAGCCTGCTGACCTGCTGGCTCAGCCACATTGGCCTGGCCAACCCTCTCCTGCTGCGCCAGATTATCATCCGGCAAAGGCATCTCCTGCCTACCACACCTGCCACGCCTACCTCCTCGTCCTTGTCCTGACATCCTAATAAAGGTAACGAAGAACGTTAGCACATTCACATATGTGCCGAAGCTATAACACTTACGTCCTAATGCATGGAAAATTGTAATTCACTCCACGTAAGTACATAAACACATAAGCACTTACGAATTTCATTTTCGGATAATGATAGTCCTGAGGCGTTACTAGAGTTCCGGTTAGAAACAGCATTGATCAAGTGCTTTTCCAACAAGACTCACAGAAACCCAAGGATCCAATCAACATCCTAGAAACTAAATCCCATACCCAAGTAGTCACATAAACATGTTATCAAATAAACGCATACTATCACATATAAGTCTCTAACAAGCGAGACAAACCCATTGTGATACTAATCACTTCCCACGTACCCAAAGTATTCAAACCCGGTACGCTCTGATACCAAGTTGTAATGCCCTCAAAATAAACCCATAAATCATCCAACAATAGCATGCTTAAACATAAGTGAATAATGCATAAATACATTCCATCAGAGTAGTCTTTACAAAATGTATTATATGTTGATATCAAAAGTAAATGCCCTATGGGCTTACAACTTTCCAAGTCAACATTTGGTTACAAAAAAAAGAAAAAAAGAGTACTAACTCTATTCAAAGAAAGCCCTTGGCTTGATATACATGTAATACAATAAAAAACACAAAACAGCCCAATAGTCTCAAGCCTCCCAAGCTATGTTTTTGGAGGTGGCATGCTACCTGTACCTGAAAATGATGTCCCATATAGGGTGAGCCACAGCCCAATAGAAATTTACTAAACCAACTATAAACAATGACTAAAATAATAGCACTCGATAGATGGTTCACACTTATATTTCAATTCATGTCATGTTATAGTTTCATGACAATCATATCCATGTTACACTTTAGTTTCCACTTCTTATTCAACTTTAAGTTTGAAAACATGGCATAGAACTTGGCCAAACAATTTAATGAGATAGTATTTCATCACTAAAATACTTTCGAAAATCATGACGAATACACATTTTGGTGCTGTATCAATAATACATAAAACCACTTCCATACTTCACAAATGATACACATTTTGGTGCTGTATCAATATAACAAAAACACTTCCATACTTCACATATGATACACATTGTAGTGCTGTATCAATAGAAAAACAACTTCCGGTTTAGAGGTCCATCCCCTATCTTCCCTTAAACCGTGGAGTACATCCCCTATCTCCTCCCACACAACACAATGTATATAAACACAGATCATATACACAATCCATCAATACATAAGATTAATGTATTATTCCAACTGTCATATTTGATGACACATTCCATTGATTAGTTTTAGTTTGCCTAATCATCTTGCATTGTCTACAACAATCAAGACTATCCTCCACCGATAGCCCAAGCAGTTATTTCTAAACAGAAAATAAATGCACCAAATGGATAACATATCAACATTTCGTCTAGGTGAGCGATAAATTAATCCAACTACACCCTTTAATCCCATACACTTCCAATTTGAATATTTCCAATTCAATTCCTCATTTTTTTCAAAATTAATTATAAAAATTAATTTGTCGAAACAATTAGGGCTTTTTCCTAAATCTCAATACCAACCCTAAGGTTCCGTTTTCCATCAATAAACCAACACCGAGTCTATTTTCCAATATATTACATACATAAAGGTTTATATGTTTGAAACCCCATCTTTTGAAAATTACACAATGACCCCAAACCTTCACAAAATTACCCAACGACCCCCAACATATCAAAATGCCAAAATTTTAAGACAAAGCTCATAAAATGGAGTTGGATATCCCTACCTCGAAGTTAGAGCTCAAACGGAGAAGAAGAAGAAATTCAAAGTGCTTTAAAATCCAAACTTTTCGGATCAAAATGTAGCCCTCGACGATCAACACACCTTTTACAAAGACAACAAGGTAGTGGGACACTATAGCTAGATCAAATCCTAGAGAGAAGGGAGATTCTAGAGAGAGGAGCTCTCAAAATCGATTTTGGGAAAGTAAGAAAGAGAGAGGAAGTGTAAAAAGTGATTCAAAAATGCCCAGCTGCCCTCTGTTATACGCATGACCCGCTCGAGCGTAGAATAGAACGCTCGAGCTTCAAGCACAAAAATCTGGACAAGGTTGAGCGCAAGAAGGCCCGTTCGAGCGCCAAGACAGAAGAATAAAATACATCCGCTCAAGCGCGAAAGCCAGTCCGCTCGAGCATGGATTTCCCCCTCCTAGAACTTTCATAGACAAAGCACTACTCGCTCGAGCGCCAAGATACCCGCTCGAGCGTAAGGAAACCCGCTCGAGCGTGAAAAACACACTTGCAGAAGTTTTGCAGGGACACGAAATACTAGGAGTGTGTAAACCCCACTCGAGCACAGAATGACCCGCTCGAGCGTAATACCAAAGACCTGGGCAACTACATTAGAGACCAAAACTCAACATACCTGTTCGAAACAAGCCCAACACATCCCAAAACTCATACATACGGAATTAAAGGATGACAACAAGGTACACAACCACCAACTCCACGGAACCAAAGTCCGGAATACAACAAATACAGAAAGGGAAAACTGGAATATTTGTCTTAAGGAGAGTGTCACATACTCGACTCGATTAGGTTTTATCTTTTTATGTATTGTAAGTTTTGTTATGTTATTTTGTCAATTTATTTCAATTTTGGTTTTGCCCAAAAACCTTTTACATATTTTTAAATTATATTTTCCAGATAGTTTGGTACTATTTTTTTAACAATCTTAAGACAAATTCGGTTTTTAGGGAAATATAATTGATTGCTTTTGTCCAAATTGTGTTTTAGTAAATGTATATGTTGTCTCAGTATCTTTTCCAAAACTTGTTTCTATTTATGAATATCATGAATAATGCAATGTTTTGAATTGATTCAAATATGGATTTCTCATTTTGGTAATTTAAATGATATTTGTTTCTGAATGAATAGTATGATTTGACTTCATTTGATTAATTGCAACATTCTATTAATGGGATCATTTTTGAATTTATGGTTTTATTGATGGGTTATGACAAGTTAGAACTATTTCTATTTTATATACATTTTTTTTTGATCGACAAAAAGAATACTTTATTGATGGAAAAAGAAAAATTACATCAATAAAGAGGAGCTTGGAGCTAAAAACAAGCTCCAACCTCCAAGTTGGTGAGAAACCAACGAGCCAACAAAGCAGAGGAAAAAGAAACAAGGAAAACCAAATAGGAAAGTCACTATAACACCAAAACCAGAGCAGACAACACAGCCCTCATTTGAAGCACCAATCAGATCAGGTCCTGCAGTTAGTTAGACACCAAGACAGAACAGATAGATCAGATTTGCCTTGGGTAACATTGCCATGAATTACAACGGCCCAAACTACCCACAAAAAGTTTTGAACCAACACTGCAGCAGGTTAGATCAGATACAGCAGTAGTCCTTCAAACTGATTAAATACAACAGCAGCAGCAGATAGATCAGATAGCCCTTCAGCCAAACCACCCACCAAAATTGTTATCCCAACACATCTGCAGTTCACTACAACGGCCCTACAGAAACAGATCATCCTCTGCATCAGTTGCACCAGAGCAGAATCACCCAGAAACAGCAGTACACAAGTTATATCCTCAGTGCATTAGGCAGAATTTCACATTTTGCAAATTATACACCAGATCATCAACAGAATAGCAAAAGGAAGGACTAAAGGCCCTGAACCACATTGCAACCCGTGTTTTGATAAGATCACACAACTTTCCAAAATCCAACTGTGACTCGTTAAAGATGATTTCATTCCGTAGCTTCCATAACGACCAAAGCACTGCCAGTGGAATTATCTTCCAAATTACCTTCAATCTGTTTTTGCATCTAAACCCAGCCCACCATTGAATAAGACCCACCACTGACCCCGGCTGTACCCAAGATACGCCCCACCATCCAATAATATTAGACCAAACTCTCCAACTAAATGAACAACACAGCAGCACATGGGATACAGTTTCCCTTTCCTTTCTGCAGAATACACAATTAGCATCAGAGTTGGCACTTAGGATTCCAATTCTTTGCAAATATGTAGAAGTCTTGATCCTCCCTTTCCATGCTAGCCAAGCAAAAAATTGCACTTTCGGAGGTGCTGCATTCTTCCAAATGAGCTCCACCACTTTTGCAGGCATGGTAGATGTTAACTCACTCCACTTGTAGGCAGACGAAACAGTAAATATTCCAGATCTGTCCGCAGCCCAAGACAACCCATCTACCACCCCATACCTGAGCTCTGGAGCAGTTTGTAACAACTCCTTCATTTTCCTCAATTCTTCAACTTCCCATTGAAACAATGCTCTTCTGAAAGACAAGTCCCACTCCCCACTACCAGTACTCCTACTCTTAATCACTGCCACTGATATACCTTGCTGCATAGACACAGAGTATAATCTAGGGAATAGGTTCTTTAAACAGTCACCACCAACCCATTGATCCAGCCAAAAACTTATGAGCCTCCCATCCCCAATGGTGATCTTTGAGTTGGCCTTAAATACCTCCAGCAGCTGTGGACACTTAAAAGCCACCTTCAAAATGTCCCTCCATACCATAGAATATCTGGAATTTACATCTTGAGCTGGCCACCTAGATCCACCATCTGTATGGCTCACTTGTTATGGTGTTCCTCTGAATCTCTGGAGTAGCAAAACGTTTAGTAGCATTGGAAGGGCATGGGAAGAAGTCATAGGCATTGATGAGGATACATCCAGAATGATGTCTTTTCACAGTGGTAAGGTGAGGATTGCTACTAAGTGTATGGAGTCCATAAACACAACCATTACTCTGCGATGCAAGGGAATCGATTTTCCAGTCAAGGTGTGTGAAGAACAGGTGGTAATCTCAGAGGTGATATACAAGCAATGTAAATGTTGCAGTGAACAGCCCCAAATGGCAAATTCAAATTCAAATGGTGAGGAGCAGGATCAAGAGCAGAGATCCGTTGTAGGGAGCAAGGAGGGTGACGATGTAGCTGATGTGGAGGGCCACGGTGGTGGTGAGTTGGATAACACAGATGTTGTGGGGGCAAAGGGGCTAAGGGTAGGAAATGATGATCATACGGCTACTGATGGACAACAGAGGGAGCTAAGTGTATCTAGGGTTGAGGAGTCCATCATGTCAATAGGGCAGCTGGACGGTCTGCCGAAGCAACCTGGAGGTGGAGGTGAAGCTTGCGGATGTCTGTCAGTCAAATCAGGGCCAACTCCCATTCAGATTCAAATTGAAGGTAACCAGATAATACAATATGATAGATTGCAGTTTAATTAATGATAGATAGAAGTATTTGTGTTTTTACTACTTTCACATGGTTTATTTAATTTCATGGTTTATGTAATTTGATTAATCAGTGGGTTTTCTGGCTATAATGAACAATAGCAGTTACAGACGTTTGAATCTCTAATTTGTTACTGTTATCAATTCCATTCTAATTCAAATATTTTTCCTACTTGAATCTATGATTGAGTCAGATTCTATGTCTTGGTATGTTGTTCATTACCATATTTGTACCAATAGAATTCGTTTCTATTTTATGAGAATAACTTCTTCGTTGTATCTGTTTTTAGAAGTTTATTTTGTATTCTCCAGTTGACTTTTAATCGGTGTACTTTCATATTTCTTTTTTAACCGAATGGTTTGGTTTGAGACATAACTTTTGTTATGTTCGTATATACCTGGAAAGAAAAATGCTTGGGAGCACTAATTAGTGCTCCTACTAATTAGGTGGCAGTGGGTCTCGTCATTAATGATGTGATGTTTTGGTCTTGGAGTTGTGTTTTTTTTTTTTACTTTTTAATGCATTAGTGCTATTAGTGGTGATGTTTTTAATGGGATGAATCATTGTTGTACATGGAAAATAAAATATTGTAGAATTTGTTTCCATTATAAGTGATTTTGAATCTATCATGTACTACTGTATATCCTTACTAAAATAGTCAGTTTGGAAAAATTTGTATTGTGAGTCAATTGGTTGATTTTGTTGTCAAATATTAAATCAATAGATTTATTTTACTGGTATCTTCTTGTTCGTTTTTGTAAAAGCAAAATCTTGCCTTCATATGAATAATTACAAATTACACATTTCTATCTGTTTGGTTTGGTTTACATAAATTGTTGTTTCAGTCCAAATCACATTTGGTTTAGATAGAATTTGTTTATGTGGTTTCGCCGACGAATCATCCGGGATCGTTCCGGTGTAGTCTTCACGAGAATTGCAACACTGGCCAATCCATTTCATACTCGCCTATGTTAAACACTCGATCAGTTTGGCAATGGCGAACTCACTCGTTCGGATTGGAACAGTCGAAGACGATCTAGTGAAGCGAGCGTTAGCGCATTTGATTCGGCCATCGTCGCATCAGCAGAAACGAAGAGATGATTTTCAGCCGAGACCGAGTTGGCTCTCGATCATGTCCAAAGCCGACGATCTCTGAACACCGATCGGTTACAGGTTGGTCTTTTGATTTATAATCTTTTGTAGGAAGAAGGCTTTGTGTTCTTCTGGCAATGGTGTCAGATCTCGGCGAAGGTATTGGATTTTGACGAATTTAGATACAGATTTTGTATGACTACGACACCAAACCCTGAGAAGTTTTTGAGATATGATTTACTACAATTGATAGCAATCTGATGAAGATCTCTGTCACTCTTTTTAATCATATGACCAAAGTGACTCTACATTTGGGTTGGAATAGAGTCCACTAATATGAGCCCTTGTGTTCGACGATGAGTTTCCGATGCCTTCCCCCAAACCCTACACAGTCCCCCTCTCATCTGTTCTTTATTATTGTGAACTTTTTTGCTTAAAGTGGGTTGTGTGATGATAGTCATGCTAAACTTTCCTTGACAGTCATAATAGCTTGATGTTTCTGCACATAATATCAATTTGATATATGGTGGTGGTCTTGGTACTAGAGGGATATCAAATGGCACCTTAGCAGTTTAGCTATTATGGCATCTGTTTTTTGAGGGATATCTTTAATGGTTGAACTTTTTACTTCATTCTTGTATTAGAATTCTTTCTGATGAAGATGATTGATGATGAGAAGAAAGGGATGTCATTGAGGCCAAATTGGGAGATGAATGTGTGTGTATGGTCTCGTTTGGACACTGGTACGGTCAAAGACCAACGTGTTATTTAGCAGTAACGTTACCCTGACAGGCAACGAGATTTCGTTTGAAAAACTTAACTGCGAATGAACCCAAATATATGCCTAGTTATATTTGGGGGCCAACTTATGATTAAGTTGGTGTAGTTTAATTTTTGGTCCGACTTTGACTTTTTGGTTTAATTTTTTTTTTAAACCTAGATATTTTGGTTTAATTTTAATTCCCCCCCAGATTGTAGTTTAATGGGTTGGGTCCACTGTTGTGTTTATTTAATTTAAAATCCTTGTTTTGGATTTAAGATAAAGACCCACAAGAGTTAGTGTATAATATTTGTGGAAGTTTCACGAATGTATTTTAAAATCAAACTATGATTTTAATTATCAAAGTCAAAATATTTTTTGGTTTGTGATTTCTTGAAGTTGAGAAAATATAGAGTATATGTTATATACTTGGTAAATTTTCTAAATAAATAAATTGGAATTTCTAACTTATGTAACTTGTATGTGAATGAAAATTTTATATTGATTGGTCAATTTATGATTCAAAACAAATATAAGCATAAATCATGAAAGTTATGATATAAGAAAGTAATAATTCTAAATATCTGAAGTATTGATTGTTTAAGTCCCATAATTTAATTTCTCAAAGTTAGCAAGAATGGTTAGTTTATATCTTAAAGTGGGTATCCGGTTATTTGAAAGAATACATAGACGCCTGTTTAAATACTTAGCATTAAAACTTTGGCTTAGAGTAAATGAAGATTACTCTTAGTGGAGGTTTATCTCTTAGAATTGAAGATGGTTCTCAGTCTCTTGTAACAAAAGAGATGGAGTGACATGGTATTTTTGTCATAGGTTTTTCTTGAATTTTTCAAGATGCAAACCCATCATCAATATGAGTTAATAGTTATGACAGTGATTGTTAGTCCAAACATGTTGGTCACGTTATAAACTATTTTTTTGTATTTCCAGTTCTTGAAATTTTTGTTTAAATTTGTTTTTTGATTTTCAATTCTGGAATTGTTTTAGAAACTATTTTTAACAGTTTTGACTAGTTTTTAGTGTTGGAAATTTTAATTTATTTGTGTCCATGCCTACATTTGTTATAGAGTTGATAATTAATATTTACAATTCTTTGTGATATGATGTCTTTAATTGATATAGTTAATATATCGATTTGGTATGTGTATATTATAAATGAATGTCAATTTTTTTTTATCGAAGTGTTGACAAAAATATGAATCTATGTGTTTTGACATAAGAGGAATTCTAATTGTTGATAAAAATGAGAACTTATGTGTTTTGACATAAGAGGAATTCTAACTATTATTTGGAATAATGACTGTGAAATTGGTGTGGTGATCGATAATTCCTTAATGAAATATTATATGAGTTAAAATATGTCATGGGTGAAAGACACTTTGGTAATTGTTGACATAGTCACCAATACTGGATAAGACAAATAAGATGTAAATGTAATTATACAATGATATTTATGTTCCATGTTGAGATTGGAATTAAAGGTTGCCGTAAACAAAAAGAAGTAATGCATGGCTAAAGAAATATTATTTGACAAAGTGTTGTGGCCACAACCGGCCATTTTTTCTTTGTACTGCAAAAGAAAGTTATGAAGTCTAATTGTATTTTAGACAAATTAGTATTGTGATTATATTCATAAAGCAATTTACATCTTGTTCAAGCACGCCAATTAAATGATATATTCTGATTTACCTTAGAATTGTGGGGGTGTATTAATGTTTTTGTGTAATTATACATCAGCAAAAGAAATTAAGTTTCCTTGGAATGCTTAAAATGTGGAGGTGCTTAGAGGATTTTACCAAAGTAACGGTTCCAATAATAGGTCCACAAAGAATCTCAATTCTTTCTACAGGACAAAGTTGGAGTAAAAGTGTAACGCCCTCAAAATAATACATAAAATCCATCACTTTAGACAAGCATTGATATAAAAGAAACTAACTATTTCTATTCATCAGAGTAGTTTTTACAACAGTATTACATGTTAACAACAAAAGGAAATGCCCAGCTTTCCAAGTCAACACCTGGTTACACAAAAGAAGAGTACTAACTCTATACAAAATAAGCCCTTGGCTTGATATACATATAATACAAACAAAATAAACAAAAATAGTCTTCAACTCTCGTCATCATCTAAGCTATGTCCTTGGAGGTGACATACTCTTACTTGAAAATAATGTCCTATATAGGGTGAGCCAACGCCCAATAGAAATATGCTAAACACAGTATGAGCAATAACTAAGACATTAGCAATTGATAAATGTTCAATTTTCATAAACCAATTCATAACCCATTTCCATCTCATGACCAATACGTTCATGTTTCATTTCAGTTTCCATTTCTTATCAATTTCGCAATTTACATCAATGGCTCAAAACCTGGCCAACTATTTATATGAGACAGTGACTCAT